AAAATGTAAAACGATTAATTTACAACAAAACATCACTTTTTTTTTTTTTATTATTGCGTGTTTTATGATTTAATACACATTTATCAAATATGTCTACATGTCTAATGAAAGAATTCATAAAAAAATTATATTAATAAAATTAATAAAACTGTTTAAATATGCATATAATATAAATACTGTTTAAAAAATATAACAATTAATTTACAACAAAACACTGCACTTTTCTTTTTTCTTTTCTTTTTTTTCTAGATTCTGTTTTTTATGATTTAATACAAATTTCTCAAAAATTATGTCTAATGAAATGAATTAATAAAACTTTTTTATATATAAACACAATTAATAAAACAATTTAATCAATCTTTAAAAATGTAATCAAATGAAAATATAATACATTGCATTTTTATTTTTTCATGTTTTTTCCTGGGTTCTGCGTTTTATGATTTAATACAAATTAATAAAAAATTGTGCCAAATGAAATTAATTAATAACACTTTTTTATATTAATACAATTAATAAAACAATTTAAATCAAATTAATCAAATATAACAATTAAATTACAACAAAACATTGCATTTTTATTTTGAGTCAAATAAGGCACTGCACAACAGAACTGTATAAATCAAAACATGGATGAAATAATATCTTGGCTGCATGATATTCCTTTAAAATAAGTACATAAGTACATTTTAGTATACAATAGTAATGTACTTCTGTCATAATTTCTTCAAGTTAAACCAAACTTTTATTTTGGTTGGATCTTTGAGTTTCAGTGTGTTTTTCTCAAATGAAGCGGTAGATCTCGATATGATATCGTTTATCACCCTACTGAATACTGTGAGTTAGATTAGCTGTGCTTGAAAGCAGTAAATCGTACCTTCTTCTCCAGCGGAGCTGCACGAGCTGCCCTCCGTCTCCGGGACTCGACTCTCTCTGGAGTAGTTCTGGGTCGAGACGGAGACTTTGGGTTCAGGGGGTTCGGTTTTCTGCTCAGGTATTTCGGTCACCACGACCCAATCAGCTGTCGTCGCCGGACCGTCCTGTGCAGGTCGACTGGTCTGAATGTCGCCCGGTCCGTCTCTGGTGGCGTTTGGTACGACTGAACTCGTGGACGGAAAGGAGGTGATTAATTTATCAGGGACGGTTGAAGGACCAGACAGCCATGAGCGGCTCCACCACGACCTCAACCCTACAGACACAAACATAAGCCAGTGCTGTTACTGATAACGAAACATAAAGTTCAATAGAAGTAAACTAATAAAACAAATAAAAAACAAACAAAAAACTTTGACAAAAACACATAACAAAATGACTGAAGTAAGTCAATTTGAAATATTAATAAATACTATAACATTATAGGCTATGAATAATACTAAAATAAGACTCTAATAACACTAAAATAAGATTCCATTGGCATCAGACATTTTTTCATCGGTTTTGCATGAGTATTCCAGCCAGTGTTGTTATTGTTAACTTAAAATAAAGCTATTAAAAATCGTTTTCGTTAACTGAAACAAGTTTAAGTTGAAGTACAAAAATGACTAAAATTAAAATTGAAATAAAAAATAAAAAAGTTAAATAGATTTTTTTTTTAAATAATAAAAATTACAAAAGCACATAATAAAATGACTAAAACTTAAATTAAAATGAACTGAAACAAGTTGAAGTTGAAGTACAAAAATTACTAAAACTAAAATTGAAATAAAAAATAAAAAAGTTAAATAGAATTTGTTTTTAAAAATAATAAAAATGACAAAAGCACATAATAAAATGACTGAAACTTAAATTAAAATTAAAATGAACTGAAACAAGTTTAAGTTGAAGTACAAAAATTACTAAAACTAAAATTGAAATAAATAAATAAATAAAAAAGTTAAATATAAATATTTTTTTTAAATAATAAAAATGACAAAAGCACATAATAAAATGACTAAAACAAAATTAAAACTGAAAACATAAAAATAAAAACGTATTAAAACGTTAATAAATATGAACAAAATAATTAATAAATTATTAATAAACAGCATAGCCTATAAGTAAAACTAAAATAACACTTATTCCATGTAGTGTATTCCAGACAGTATTGTTAAGCTATTAAAAAGTTTTCATTAACTGAAATAAAGTATGAATTAACTGAAATAAAATATGAATATTCAACAAAAAATGTTGCCTTGGCAACTAACTGAAATAAAATAAGTTTAAAAACTACAAAAAATGATAAAAGCACATAACAAAAAGACTAAAACTTAAAATAAAATTAAATATAAATAAAAATATAATTCAGAAATATTAATAAATACTATAATAGTAGCTTATAAATAATACTAAAATAACTAAAATTATGAATTAAATTTTAGTATTACTATAGGCTATATTATTATAGTATTTATTTACTATTTCTGAATTACATTTTTATTTATATTTACATTTTTATTTATTTATATTTTCTATGTAAGTTTTAGTCTTTTTGTTATGTGCTTTCGTCATTTTTTGTAGTTTTTTTTTTTTTTTACATTTCTATGTAACTATATATTTTTATTAAAATTTTTGTAATTTTTGTCTTTTTTGTCTGTTTGCCTTAAGCAAATAAGCAGCACTATCAAGGTAGAGACTAAAAACACGCTTCCAGTAATGAGACTGATTTAGTCAAAGACTCATTTCCAAATGAGAGTGATGATTATTAATTTGTCTGTGGAGCTTTATTCAATCAGCAGTTATGCTCTTGTGCATTTAGATGTTGCTCTTTTCGGATTCATTCCTCTGATCATTTTTTTTGTCTCTAGAGAGCGGCGAACCGTCTGCCAGACTCTCATTAAATATTCACTTGACTCCAGTTTTGATCTACTCGTCTAAGACTTCAGGCTGTTTGCCTTTTGTCAAGATTCACTAATATCATTACTATTGCTCATTTTTAGGATTAGTGATCTGAACCAAACGTCAGCGAGTAACTCCATCCGTTCATGTCTTGAATGAATGATTCCTCAAATCATGCATCTCGAGGTGATCAGATGCACCATTTTCACCACTAAAGGCTGGAATGCACTAGATAGAAGGCTTTTAAAATATGAACAGGTTTTAAAATTGTAGGCTAAGATTTTAGACTGATTTTAAGCTGATTTAAAAACTAAGCTAAAATAAAATACAATTATTAGTTGAAAATATAAAAATTTTATAGAAGAAAATTTTTAATGTACGTTAAAAGAAAATTTCAGTAAAAAAAAAAAGTAAATGACAAACATAAAACAACATTTTTGAAACTAAAATTAAAGTGAAAACTGAAAATATATATTTATAAAAATAAAAGCAATTTTTCAATTATTTTGATTTCAGTTTTAATTTATTGAAGCTAAAAATAAAAAAAAAAGTAAACTTAAAAAACTTAAATGAAAATTAGAAATGTTGCCTTGGCAACTAACTGAAATATAATGAGTTTAAGTTTCTACAATTCAAAATTACTAAAACTGAAATAAAATAAATTAAAGCTAATTAAAAAATTTATTTCAAAAGCAAAATTAATAAAATAACACACATGACTGAAACTTAAACTAAAACTAAAACGAAAACTGAAAATATAAAAATAAAAGCTATTTCTCCATTTATTTTTTTAGGTTTTATTAACGTAAATGAAAATCTCAAATCTTTTACCTTAAATTAAAATCTTGCCTTCACAACTAACTAAAATAAATAAATAATACATTTAAGTTATTAAAAGCTATTTAATAATTCATAATTATAATAAATACTGTAATAGCATATAAATAATACTAAAATAAGTCTTAAACACGCAGGTGACATCTGACCTCAACATTCACAGCATTTTTGTGCTGCTGACAAATTAAATCCCAAATGTTTTCACTTAATGCACTGAAATATAATTTCACAGCAGCAGAACTAACTGATGGCTGATTACATTGCAGTGATACAAAAGCAATGGATATTTGACAACAAATACGATTTTAGAAAAGAAAGTAGCTCTGTTCCAAAACCTAGTGAGACGCCTTGCTGTCTAGTATGCAGTTACATACTAAAAACATACTTAACACGAGCATGTGTATGGAAGCCCCTTTCTGCCGCTTAATAAAACATTAAAAAAGGAAATTGCGACTCACAATGAGGAATTTATTTCTTTGCAATTTTGAGCAAAAAACTCAGACATTGTAAAATAAACTTGTGAAAAAAAGTCAGAATTGTGAAATAAAAAGTCGCAATTACCTTTTTTATTCCATGGCAGAAATATATATTTTTTATTTTAATTAATGAGATATAAAAAATAAAATAAAGAAATTAAAAAAGGTAATTGTGACTTATTTCTCAATTCTGACTTTTTTTACTCACAATTCTGAGTTTATATCTTACAATTTAGGTGTTTTTTCTCTCAAAATTGCAAAGAAAAAAGTCCAAATTGTGAGATAAATAAATAAATAAATAAAAATCATTGCAATTCTGAGTTTCTAAAATATTTTTTATTCCGTCGTGGAAAAAAAAACAAAAAACAAAAGAAGAGAATTGTTTGAAATTTACATTTCACAATTCTGAGTTTATATCTCACAATACTGACTTTTTCCCTCCTCGACATTGCAAGGAAAAAAGTCCAAATTTTATTCAGTTATGAACTGCGTGCTGACACGTTTCGCAATGCAATAGTGCACAAAATCAATCTTGCATCGCTACAAGCTAATAACCGATTGCTAGTACGGCTGCAGGCCAAACGCTCGCGGCTGCATTGCTGTACTTGTTTCTGGCCCAAGGCAGCATCCTAATGGAAATGAACCCTCACAAACGAGGGGTTTGAAATGCTTTACATCATAAAACAGCACAGAAATATTGGGTGAGCTAGTCTGTTTTGGCATGTCTTGTATATCAGCAGAACAAACCACACAAAGCACTGGAGCGGACAGTACAGCAAGTGTGCATGAGTGAACAGTGTGGATGCACTTTTCCAGTTTCTGGCTTCCAGTCTCAAGCTTTCCACTGCCTTCATGGAAAATGGACTTTAATAATGTAGGCGACAGGCCTAAGTTTCCATTTGATGTTAAATATTAATGCTGCCGGGTTCAGTTTGGGCCAGACAAGGTATCTGTATTAATGAAGACAACCCTCAAACTTTACCGCTCGGGCCTCCTCGACAAACGGAGATCAAACTCCAGTTTGCTATAAGAAAACAGTAGGGCTGGGTATCGAGCTCGATACTTTTTAGGCACCGACCGAATTGCCTCGAAACCATCGAGTATCGAAAAACGTCTCATCGTTCGGTACCAAATTTCGATACCTAAGGGATTAATCTCATCAGCGTCAGTGAGTCAATAAGCCTGCAGCACACGACAGATCGATCAGTGTTTGACATCCGCGAGAGCGATTCGAAAAGTCTATTTGAGCTTTATTAAAAATATTTTGCTCTGATTTATTGTGTTGGTTACATTTTGTTCTTTTGTGCAGTGGCTCAGGAGATGAGTCTTTGAGTCTGAATAAACATCAACAAGCTGAAAAATAAAACCAAAGTTTTTTTGTTTAGATAATGTAATCTTGTTAAAATTGATTTCATAAAACTGGTATCGAAAAAAGTATCGTTCAGGAACCGGTATCGAAGTCAAGGTATCGGTATCGATATCGAAAATTTTTGAACGATACCCAGCTCTAGAAAACAGTGAAGCTGACAGAACGTCCTGCTGACTTCCTCCCGCTGGGTTGAGCTTGATTTATCCCACTAATGCTGACAGATCATCTCTCAGCTCAATCATACTTAACACTTAAAAAAGCATTTCTAATAAAGTGCAATCATGCAACTAATACAATTTAACAACAATTTATTAAATGTGCAACAAAAATTAAGCTAAATAGAAATATTAAAAAAAAAATAATAATAATAAAAATGACAAAAGCACAAAACAAAATGATTGAAACAAGCTAAAATTAAAATGAAAACTGAAAATATACAAATGAAAGCAATTTTAACATTATTTTTATTTCAGTGTTAGTGATTTTATATTTTAGTAACTCTTTTCAAATTTTCATAATTTTATTAAAACATTTTAATAAATACTATAATAGTATATAAATAATACTAAAAAAACACAGATTGTTGTTTTCACTTGATGCATTTAAATATAATAAAATTTTAAGGCCCAATGAAATCAATGTTTTCCCTCAAATTCAGTTTTTTCCTAAATTCAGTTAATTCTGTTTTAATGGTAAAATTAAATTTGAGTAATCAAAAAGCATGTCTAATTAATAGAAATAATGAAACTTATACTATTTAACCACCATTTATAAAAAATGTTAACAAATATAAAATTTTTAGGCCCCTATGAAATAAATGTTTTCCCAAATTATTATTATAATTTATTATTATTATTATTTTTTTTTTACATTTTTCTAGATTCTGCTTTAATGGTTAAATTTCAGCAATCAAAAAGCATGTCTAATTCATTGAAATCAAGAAACATACTATTTAACAACAATTTATTAAAGGTTTAACAAAAATTTTTAGGACCCTATGAAATCAGTTTTTTTGTTGTTGTTGTAAATTCTCCTCAAATTCCATGTTTTCTGTTTTATATTTTAATAATCAAAAAGCATGACTGATTAGTTTAGTGAGTTGAGTCAAAATTGATATATTTTTATCTAAATAATTTTACTTTGCTGCATTATTATTTTCTACAGTGTTTTAGATATATACTATGAAAATTTTTGTTAATATTTTGAAATAGATTTTATTTTTATATTTTCTCTTTTCATTTTCATTTTAAAGTTTTAGTAATTTTATTGTGTGTTTATAATTTTTATTAGTTTTTTTTTTTAAATATGCCTACATAGTTTTTTTTTTTTTGTATAATATGTATAATTTTTTTGTATTTTATGTCAGTTGTTTATTTCAATTAACAATATTTTTATTTTTATTTTTGGTTTTAGTTAACGATAATGACACTGGTGTCCAGCTCCGTTGTTTTGATGAACTTCTCACTTAAACTCTAGAAACTGTAAAATAGAGCAACTGTTGTGATTTTGTCTAACAATCTGGATGGAACATTGAAAATTACTCAGAAGTTTATTATTGATATTGAGGATTTAAAAAAAATAAATATCAGTTTATCGCCCAGCCCTACTTAAAATGCATCTTCTTTTTCAGAAAATATTGTTGTGTTGCGTCCATTTCTTTCTTTCCCTCTTCTTTCATATTTACCTGATCCGGGAGCGGCAGTGGTCTCCGTCGCAGCTGCGCTCGTGCTCGTCGCCTCGGCTTCACTTCCTGTCAAGTAGCTCCAGGGTTTCCATAACGAGCTGACGATGTTGGTGAGGGGACTCTTGGCCTTTTCTTGAGGAGCGTCTGAAGGAGCTGCAGGACTCACAGACTGACCAGACAGACCTTCATCCTCGTCCTCTTCCTCTCGGGCCGAGCCACCAGGACTCAGATCAGGAAGCACCTGTCGGCTGTCTGGGAACGAGTCCAGCTGGCCGCTCCAGTCCAGAGACGTGTCTCCGGCGTGCAGACGGACCGTCAGATACTCGGCCGAGAGCTCAGCAGGTTCAGCCGTGAGCGGCTCTTTGTCCAGATCCACCTGTCCGGTCCAGTTAGAGGGTCGAAGGTCAGGCAGGTCCGACTGGCCGGCAGTCTGTGCGTCTGGAATACAGTCAGATATGAACTAGTTTAAACATCAACACAACACATTTTACTTGAAGTGAAACAGGGCATTCAACAATAATTCAGCTTGCGAATATGATAAACAACTAATTTTATCAACATACACCACTGTTTAAAAGTTTAGGGTTGGTAAGATTTTTTTTCAAGAGACTTGGTAAGAGTCTCTTCTGCTCACCAGGGCTGCATTTATTTGATCAAAAATACAGTAACAATTTTTAAATATTATTACAATTTAAAATAACCGTTTTCTATGTGAATCTCTGTTAAACTGTAATTTATTTCTGTGATCAAAGCTGAATTTTCAGCATTATTACTGCAGTCTTCAGTGTCACATGATCTTAAGAAATTATTCTAATATACTGATTTGCTGCTCAAGAAACATTTCTGATTATTATCAATGTTGGAAACAGTTGAGCTGATTCATATTTTTGTGGAAACTGTGATACATTTTATTTTTCAGGATTCACAGATGAATAGAAAGTTCAAAAGAACAGCATTTATTTGAAATAGAAATCTTTGGTAACATTATAAATGTCTTTATTGTCACTTTTGATCAATTTAATGCATCCTTGATTAATAAAAGTATTAAATTATTTCGAAAAATCATACTGGCCCCAAACTTTTGAACGGTAGAATGTCAGAAAGCTATTTGTTTATACTTTTGATGCAGCTATAATTCATACAAAACACTTGCTAGAAAATTTCTTAATCATTTTCAACACATTCTAACTTCTAAAAAAAACTTCTAACACAACATTAAATATTTAAATAATCAGAATTTAAAAAATAAATCAAAACATTACAAAAATGTTTGCAAAGTCATTTAGAAAAAGAACTAAAAAGCAGAAAAAAACGGCTGTTTAATTTTAAAGAGAGTGTGAAAAAGATCATGAAAAACTATTTTTTGCATCAAATTTTTGTTGCAAAAACCTTGACTAATATTATAAGTGAATTTCTGGGGGGAAAAATCATTACTGTCACTTTTGATGAATTCAATGCATCTCTGATTAATAAAAGTATTAATTTCTTTTTTTTTAATCTTACTGACTCATGGCAGCTATAATTCACATAAAACACTTTTGCTGGAGAATATCACTGATTTCTCAATCATTTTCAACTCATTCTAACTTCAAAACATGATGTAACATCACACAAAATATTTCAATCAACAGAATTTAAATAAATCAATACATTAAAAAAAAGTTTGCAAAGTCATTTAGAAACAAAACTGAAAAGCAGCAAAAGCCGCCTGTTTAATTTTAAAGAGAGGGTGAAAATGGTCCTGAATAAACATTTTTCTTAAATATAACTATTTTTAATGCAAAAAGCCTTGACTAATATTATAAGTGGACGTCTGGAGGGGAAAAAAAGTTACGAGGTAAAATATGTCCCCATTACCAATAAAACAAGAAGTATTTAATGTTTGTATTTTATTGCAAAGAAAGGTGACTGAATTAAACAGGCTGATTAAGAGTTTAATTTCTAAATGAGGGTGAAAATGATCCTGAAAAACTATTTTTATGACCTTGACTAATATTATAAGTGGACTTAGTATTTAATCTTTGTTGCAAAGAATGATGCACTCGGCTCAGTTTGACTGACAGTGATTGAGCGTCCTGAGCAAAACACACAAACTCACTTCACGATGCCTGTGAGCGCCTTCTCCGCTTTCTTTTCTGTTGACGTATTAAATTCAATGACTTCAGATTGTCTCTCCAAACACATTACTCAGCTGCTGGAGCATGTGCAAGAAACGTCAAAGTCACGGGTTCGATTAGCAGAGGCACACATGCTGATAAAATGTAAACCTTGAATGCGCTGTAAATCACTTTGGATTGAAGTCTGTCAGATGAATATGTACAGATGTTCAGAATGACACACCTGCTACTGTTTTATACTGTGCAAAGTCTGCAAATATTCTTAATGCATGGAATATCCCACTACATTTAGAAATGTGAAGTATGCAAAAACAGCACTGAATAATGCAACTCAACTTTCCTTTTCCAGTGTGACAAATTTTACCATTTTTAACATCATCTTAACCATTATTTGCCTTATTTAACTTAGTATGCAAAATGTCAACAATTTTTTAGATATTCTTGGACTTCCACCATGACAGCTGAACGGCACTTGCTGAATTAAAAGTGCAACACTGAAGTCATTCAAAAATAGTATGCAGTATACTGTAGATATTGTGCAGTATGCTGAACATCTCAAATAATAATATTTACATTATAAATGTATTTACTGTCACTTCTGATCAATTTAATGCTTCCTTGCTAAATTCATGTATTAATTTTTTTTAAAAATCATGATACCAAACTTTTGTACAGTAGAATATGTGTCAAATGTATTTATATATGTTTTATATTTAATATAATGACAGCTATAAATTCATATAAACACTTTTGTTGGAAAATACTACTGATTTCTGTTTAGTTTTCAACCCAATTTAACTTAAGGGCATAAGACATTTACATTATGTAAATGATTAATAAATAAATAAATAAACTACAATAAATACAATTATTATTATTGCTGTTGTTTTAATTATATTTTAAATTTTTTATTTATTTATTGCATAGTATATTTAATAGAATAGTTTTATTATATTTACTTATTTAGTAAATAAATCATTTAAAATAAATATTTCATAATTTAATTATTTCTAAAGTGAGGGTGAAAAATGGACTGAAAAACTAAATTAATTACAATAATAATAATAATAATAATAATTTAAGAAAAATGATAGTCATCAGACCTACTTGCTTTCTGGGTTACTACCAATTTTTAAATAAAAAAAAAATGTATTATGATATTTTAATTATATGTTAAATTATTTATTTATTTAGTACATAGTATACTTAATAGAATATGATTTAGTATATTTATTTACTTAGTAAAAGAGTATTTAATAAATAATATTAATGCACACATAATAATATTAAATATTATTATTATTATTGTTGTTGTTGTTGTTGTTGTTGTTAATATTATTATTTATTAATAGAACATTACACTAACAAGTTGTCACATCACCATAGTGACATATTAAAACCAGAAGATTTAAATATAAATCAAAACAATGTTTGCAAAGTCATTTAAATACCGAACTCTTAAAGGTACAGCAGCAAAAACAGCCTGTTTAATTCTAAAGAGAGGGTGAACAATGGACCTGGAAAATTAAATTATGACTATTTTTCACACGACAACCATTTCACATGAAAAAATGATAAGTGGACTAAAATGTTACAAGCCGGTAGAATATGGCCATGTAAAACAAGAGCTTCTGATGAATTTGCAACATTATGGTTCACACTATCTCTTAAGCATGATCAAATCCCTATTGCATGGGCTAGATCAAAAAAACAAAACAATAATAATGGCTTCTGTAATGCACGACTGTGTAACACGGCGATGCATACCTCGATAGCAGAAAGCATCGAACCGCGTGCTCCCGTTGTTCAGTTCTGTCGGTGAAACCGTTCGGACGCCTGGTTCTCCAGCGGGACAGTCCGAGCGCAGCGAGCTGACGGAAAACCTCACGCTCCCGTCAGACAGCCAGGCCGGCTCGCAGTGGTCCAGCCCAGAGCTCCAGGCCAGATAGAGCTGACCGACGGTCGCCAGCCGGCCCCCTAGAGACGCGCAGTGAGCTGAGGCTTCGACGTGAGTCAGTCGGTCAGGAACAGCGGCGGGAAACACTTCACCTGCAGAAACACAGGACGGAAACAGCTGTAACTGCACTTCGGCTGGACAGATGGCTTGTGCATTTAGCTGAATTAATGGCACAACACTGGGGAGTTTATAATAAATGTTACAAAACAGCATCATGCATCAAACAGCATCATCAAAAGCCCATTACATTTATTTATATTACACGTGAAAGCATCTCACCATTATTCATCCATCAATTATTACATGATGATTTTGGTAAATGATTAAAAATGAATTTTTTTAAAAAAACAGTTATGAATAATTCATATGTTGTGACTAACAGCTCCAGATACATTTCTGTGATGTTACTGTAATAGTTCATAAAAAAAATATAGAAGTTTTGGTTAACTTGTCAGAAAGCAAATTTACTAAATATGATACTTTTTATGAAAAATGTTCAAATTTTCATCACTACTAATAGCTTTCACAGTTACTGTCGATTTTTCTGTACTTACATAATCAAATAAAAAATACAATTATTATTGTTATTATTTTACTACTTTAATTACATATTATGTATTAATATCATACATTACGCTATTTTTAAATTTAAATGTATTTAGTGCATAGTATACATAATAGTGTATTATTTAGTTTATGTATTTATTTAGTAAATAATAAATACTGAATACATAACATTAAAACATAAAATACAATTAATGTAACAAATAATAATAATATTTATTTATTTATTGAAAAACCGGCTGTAACCCTGGAAGAAATAATAATAATAATAATAATAATCTATTATACTTTTTTATGAAAAATGCATCATTGAATATTGAAAATTTTAGACAGATTTAAGAAAAACAATCATCAGTACTAATTGCTTTCAGGGCTACTGCAGATTTTTCTGTAAATAAATAATCAAATAAACAAATAAATACAATTATAATTTTTATTTTACTACTTTATTATGTATTAATATTATACAATACATAATTTTTTAATTGAAATTTATTAAGTACATAGCATGATTAATAGTATATTATTTAATTACGTATTTATTTAGTAAATAATAAAAACATAATATACAATTAATATAACAAATAATAATATTAATTATTATTATTATTGTTGTTGTTGTTGTTGTTATTTATTTAGAGAAAAATCATTGGTAACCCTGAAAGTAATAATAATAATACAATGTTAAAATAAAATAAAATAAAATAAAATA